TTCTAATTTATTTCGATTCTTTGACTCACAAATTCCACATAGCATAATTGCATATTGCATGAACAAATACATATATTTACAAAATATATGAACACATATGCTATATATATAATTGAAAGGAAAATGTAAATATAGGGGGTTCATGCATCATGAGGAATGTTTCATGCTTCACGGTCGTTTCAAATATCTTAATTTATTTTAAGCGGACCTGATTGACAGAAAACAATAAAAAGCCTTTGAATTTGTAAAAGATCATTCTCTGAAAGTCGTGCATCTGATTGACAGAAAACAACAAAAGCCTTTGAATTTGTAGAAGATCTTTCTCTGAAAGCCGTGCATCTCCAATACATTGTATTACGTCTAATGAAAAAAAATTAAATTGAATCAATAGCATGTAGATCAATTCAATAAAATAATAAATTAATCATAAAAAAAATGATTAAAACGTAATACTCCCTTGATTGAAAAATAAACCCTCTTTAGCGCAGCTTTAAGATCGTGCTGATAACGTGTTGTAGGCATAATTTATTGGACAATTATGGAGGCCAGAAAGAGCGGGTGCGGCACATAGAGAGAAGAGAGATATGTGTAATTGTGAGGTGTGTTCTATTTTATCCCATTGTGCCTTTATTTATAATGGTAGGAAGGTTAAACCTTACTCTAATAGGATTACAACTTTAATATGATATTAACTACTAAAAGGAATATTCAAAGATATCCCTAGATACACTAAGATTTACACAATCACATTCTTAATCTAATAGAACTGCAACAATAATCAGCTATCGTTAAGTTTTATATTAAGAGTTGCAATTGAACATTAATATCGAATATTTAATTTATACTTTTAAATCAAATTGAACGAGAATAATCATATACATATTTGAATTATTTAGTGACCAAGAAAACAATTATTTTTTATTTGAAATAAGGCATATATTCCGTTACTAAGTTGTCAATCCTTGATTAATACCAACATTAAAGATTATAGTGTTTGTATATTGTCAATTCATCCATTATAATCAACTGCTCATAATGAATTTACTTGAAATCGAAACACTAAGGCAGCGGAGAACACAAGTGAAATGTCGTTATTGTGTCGACTAGGACATTCAGAACTAACGAACCAGTTATGAGTGTTACATAAGAGTTAGTTTTAAGGAGCTTCTAGCTCAACTTATCCCATAAAACGCTTATGAGTTTAGTTGATTGTTATCCATTAATATGTTTTCGTAAAAACAAATTATCATCTTATTTTTAGCGAAAATATTGTTAACTATTCCAATTTCCCGTTCATTTGAAAATGCAGCTTAACTAGCTTCGGTCCAAGGGCGGACCCAAATTTATATGAAGGTATACATACTAAAGTATCATGAAAATGAAACTCAAGACAAACTATTATCAACCAATAAAGTCCCTCGATTCTTTATAAACAAACTCTAACATGAATAAATACATGTGAAAATTATATCGAACGAAACGTTCATATTGTTAAATTCCATACACAAATGCACAACCATTAAGTTGCATTCTATGTTACTGACGTGAATATATGTTACGGTTTAGTTATCATTTTGTTAATTTCCAAAAGAATTATCTTGGCTATAGCCCATGGTTGGGTCTTTGGTTTGAGCTAGGCGATGACAAGCTCGATAAAAATAACGTCACATGATCAAAAATACTTTACAATTGCACGTAAAACGCAACAAAACCTTTAAACCAGAAGTACAACCTCTTCGATAGGCATGGAAGCTGAATTCCACCCAAAAGCACAAGGAAAGCCTAACCTTTACGCATGCAACACCATGCATGCATGGCATCTTAAGTCAGTATACACAACTTAACTCACTTCCATATAAGTATATAAATCCACACAAAAATCTACTCTTACAACATATTTGTACAATCTCTCTAATAGAGATTGGATCTACATGCATTGACTCTACCTCTATTAGAAAAATGATATAAATGATGATACAAATAGATAGTAAATGTAGTATTACTTAAATCCACAACCACAATAATAATACAGACAAAGATTTCCTTATTTATCGGGCATGCAAAGGATATATATACCCTTAATTATTCACGGCAAAAACGTGTGTATTGTAGAAAATGGGATGAGGTTATGGAGAGTAAATTCTACTTTAGATATAGATTGGTATTCTCAATTCGGTTTTATAGTAGAACCTCAGTTATCTCAATGTGTGAATTCCAATTGCACATGTACTCCATGACACTCGATTTGTGTTGTCCACATGTTAGACTTGAACAATTGTAGCATATGAGAAGACGTGTTGATAGTGATTAGTGAATCTCACATCAAAAAAAAAAAAGAAAAAAAAGAATAAACTATATGTGTGCTCACAAGCATTTGGGTCACTCCTCATTGTCATTGATTTTATAGTGGTTGAACTTCTTCGCATCTAAAAGCACTTTTGGGATATTTACTTAGCAATGTCGTTCGAACCCTAAAGAGGAAGAGCTGAGAAAGCGTCCATGCGGAAAAGCAAGGGAAACTCATACCAAGCAAGAGCGACATCAATACCCAAAGCAAATACATACGCACATAAACTTTGGTTACAATCTTCATTTGATTTGATAACTTGAAGGGACGTAAAAGATTCACTGGATTATCGAACAAGTGCATGCATAGGGACTACATAGTATGGTGCATTGTCAGATTAAGAGACAAAAGAACTAATAAGAAATTGATTGTTTCGTTACTTTCGAGAATGTAGATCACATGAGTTTATATAATATCCAGGAACTTTTGTTTTTGCTTCTTTTGTAAGAGAAAAGTTGGCCATAGCGTTATTCTGAGATCTTAATTATTGTCGCGAGTCTCTGCATGCTTGGATATTTTTATTTGATCTACATCATCATCAATGGTAGCCCATTGGAATCCAATGGTCCACATTTCCAAAATTCAATTCGGGATAATTTCTCCCGTACAAATGGGGAAGAGTCGTCTTCTCTTTTTAAAAAGAAGCGACATGTTATTGATTACAGAGAACCAAACCAAGGGTAAAACTTTTTCTGGTTCCAGATTCCAATAACAATTTGAATTCTCAACAGGAACATTATAAACTTTACACTTTACATCACTTTTCCTCTCACATACAATTCTTTATTTATAGTTATTAGATTAAATAAATCAAATAAAATCAACAAAAAAAATCTCTGACATCGTCCCAATCCACCAAGTAGTTTCTCAATTCACCAAAGCCTCTTGAAACAGTGGTTACATGAGCGCACGTGATCATTTTTAATGCTCAAATTGGCATACAAGAAATGAAATGACCACATTGATTATTCATTTTGAGGGACCAAATTAATGGGAGTGATCAATTTAAGGACCGAATAATGTGATAAAAAACTTAATATATAAGTCAAATCAAATCAGTCTTAATCCATATCTAAATCCATTATTCGGATTATTGAATTAGGGTTGTATTCAAATTAGCAAATTGAAAGTCTTAATCCATACTTTAAGTATATCAGATTCGGATGAAATTTGGATCAAAACCCGATCTACTGATAGGTTTACAACATACTGCTATTCTTTAAGATGAAAATAAAAAAAGATGAGAGATGACTCCTCGATATTTAGTGTTTAAGATATCAATATAGAAGGAAATATCGATATGCAAATTTATTTAAATATTGATGGATATAGCGATATCGGTTGCCTTCAATGGAAATTATGTAAATTTGCAATGGGGTGAGTATATCAACTCAGTTAGATTTAATCAAAATTAGAGAAAAAAAAATTCTCAAAAAAATGTTCAAAAGTTCGGAATCTAAAATGGGTTCCGGTTAAATTTCTGTAGTAAAACGGTAAATATCTTCGATATTCATTGATTTTACTATATCTCACCGTTATAAGTGAAGTTTTCATTTCACCTCCCTTTCCATTGATCCTTTATTTTTTGGATATTTCGACGAAAATATCGACCATTTCGTAAACATTTTAAATTAATAGCGTCCTAGTGTTTTGTGTGCGTAGCTTTTTGTATTTTACATATTTAGAATATAAGCATAAAAACATATGAAATGATTTTTTTAAAAATAAGTTAGAACTAAGTTTCTTGTTATCTTATATACGAGTACTAGTGGTGGAGGGCAATGAAACTCAATACCTCAAATGAAGAGGTCTATTCTCGTAACTAACCGAGTTATCAAATTTTTGCCAAACGAAATTATTATAAGATGCCTACAAGTTCTCCTTTATAAATGATAATAGAAGAAGACAATACGAATGTGACATTTTTTTTTTCTTTTTGAATATAGGATTGCATATTGACGGCAGACTAATTCCAAGGCAAAATTGATAGCCTCAAGGATACACAAATATAACATAGTGCATATCAATTTTCTATATTTTTATGGATTCGTATCATTGCACAATGCTAGCACGATAAGCATTTTAGATGTGCATAGTCAAGTTAGTTAAGAGTAGGGGTGGGCAAACGGTTCCTGGATCCGTGGGGCAGGCCGGTTCCTTGCGGTTCGGGTCGGGGTACGGGACGGGTCCAAAAATTAAAAATACAAAACAGGGCGGGGGGTTCCAAAAATTAGAAACAACAGGCCCCCCCCGGCCTAGACCGTTCATTGCATTTGTGATTTGCCCTCTATTATTACCCATTTACACACTCTCTTGTTCTCACTTTCATGCCCAATTCACACTCAAGCCCTCACCCTCTCTATCCCGAGTCGCTGCTCAACTCTCCCCTCACCCTCTCTCTCTTATTCTCACTCTCAAACCTCAACCTCGATCTCAGACCCCAATCTCAAACTCTGATTCTCAATCTCCTCCATCTCGATCCCTCTTTCTCCCAGAGTCTTTCTCTCTCTCTCTCTCTCCTCGGACGCCTGTGTCTCCGATAATGCACCTTCGCCTGTTTTTGCCCATGCTCACCCCTAGTTAAGAGTAGTTTATATTCCCGCAACACGAAAGACCCCCCTGAGGTTTATGATTTTCGATAAACGTCACAATATAAAAATCCGGAATTGCAGTTTATCGATAAATAATCCAGGTAAAGAGTCAACAAATTACTACACAAAGGAACCCCGATCCTGGTTCCTGGACTCGCCAGCGGCCTAATATTACAGATTTGGGCGTTCCTACTGACCTATATTTTCACCGGATAATAGAAGCCAAGCTATTTCTAAAGTCCGACAAGAACATTATTGGGGAAATCAACTAAGGATGTGATCCTTAATCTTATATTAATAAACTTAACACAACCTGCATGGCATTTTGTTGACATTCCTAATATCAAGTACCAATTTTCCAGAGCCACATCTCTCTAGTATGGCCTGTACCTCCAATCTGCTCTTGCTGGTCTCGCACTGCCGATTCCATAACCCCACTGCAAAATTAAGGGATGCGGTATGTTACTGAAGAACTTTGGCAATAAGCTAATGTAAATATCAGATTACAGCAGATAAGAACCTACTAATGCAGGACCGCATCTGTCATCCATATAATCATTAACTTTTGAAATCCGCCACGTTTACATCTAAACTGAATTCGTATAAAGTATACTTACATCATCAAAATCCAGACTTCCATACATCCTGCCATAGGAGCGCATAGGACCACCGTAGCCGGCAAAGGGCTCTACATTATTCATCATAAAATTTCCACTTGTACCAGCATCCTCTGGAGGTGTGGCTGTATCTATTGCAACCTACCCAACAACATATTAAGTGAATGAAACTTCTTAACGAAAATCAACATTCGTGCTAAAAAAACAAAAAAGTTTGACGTGAGTGGATAAAAATGAAACACAAGCGAAGAGGTACAATGGAGGTCAGCTTCCCTCTACTACCTGCTGGCCACAAATCTCATGAGACCTTCGTGATACACGTTCTGCTACACCATCTTCCCCGAAAGTCACAAAACCAAACCCTCTATGCCCAGTTCTTTTGGGGTCCTACATAATAGAGTATTCTCACATTTTCAGGTTCCAATATTTCAAGAATACAGTTACTTGGTTAAAATATACGATATCTTACCCTTGGAACATAGACATCTACTATACGACCAAATCTTCCAAAATACTGGCGGAGATCATCAGAGGTTGCTTCCTGAGGAAGCCTACCAACAAAAATCTTTTTACCAAGTCCTCGAGCAGACTCCCCTCCTAATCCAACACAAGATTTGGTTTTTTAAATTGTAACTTCCGAGTAGTCACATCAAGTGCAGTTTAATATTCTTCACATGAAATGCATTAAGTGTTCTAAACTTGTAATAGTACTTACTTGGAAAAGCTGGTCCTGGTACAGGGTGGTCATACAAGGTAGGAGCCCCGAGGGCTGCATATCTAGTTGCTGCTGAGATATAAGCATTATATGCCCCATAGCCACCCTGTTGCGCCATTCTTCCAACTGGTCTGAAATCATCTTCCTGAAAACAAGAAATTATATTTGTTGATTCTTGAGTTAGTGATATCATAACAACCAATCTTTAAACTTTAAAAGGAATTAGTACTATAAGTTCAAAAAACAAGGGAGTAAAGATTGTCAAAGCTGTAACTTGCCTTGGGTGTAGCTCGATCAACAACTACATTGGAACCGCCTAATTCATGAGTATCAGCCATCAAATCTTCCACAGAATCTGCAACAAAGAACATTTGTTTACTTTTTCTAAAAAAGATAATGATATCAACCACAAAGGAATATATCATACAATCAGCTCCCGGATCATCTATCCTACTGAAGCTAACTCATTATATTCACAACAATAAAGACCATAACGCAGGGTTCATATAATTTACAAAAGAAGCTGTTATTGCTACTCCAAACATTTAATCCTGCACTCCTATCTTGTAAAAAAAATTTAGGCAGAAATTGCATTCGGAGGAGGTGCATCTTCTCTGGAGTGCCAATAATAGTTCCCTTTGCGTCTATATAGGATTATAATAAACTACTTACAAACTGATAAGGAATGGTAAAATAAAACAAGACATCAATATGTAAAGAATTTCAGATGTAAAAGCCAGTGAAAAGAACATATAATGTAATCAAATATGCTAGAGGAAAGCATCTTTTCTTACGTAGTTCCATGCAACAAAATACCACTGACCTTTAGTTCTACCCTATCTCACCACAAGCGTTTCCCTCATCATCACAAATAAATTTATGTCTACTGAAAGCTCAAGCAAATGCAAACTACTAACTTAATGTGCCACTGGAGGCCTTCAACTCCAACGGAAAACAGAAACTGACATTAGGCATAACGCAAGGCACAGGAGAATATAAGAGATGGCCTGACCTGCATTTTCAAAAGTTATAAACCCAATTCCCCGATGCGCTTTTGAACTTTGATCCTGAAACAACAAATTCGTGCAATCATAGGATACTAGGTCCAACCCAACAATAATTTGAAAAGTAAATGTGTGACTTGGTAGGTGCGTACACAGACATTCTATGCAAATTTACAAGAGTTGTAAGCATATGCACTGACAAATCAACACACAAAAAGCTACAAACATCTAATTTAATTAATTTTGACAAGGAGCTGGATAGAGAACCTTCGGCATGTATAAATCCGTTATTTCACCATATTTTTCAAAATGACTGCAAAAATAATTCAAAGAAACATCAGGTAATTCCATATAATGACTCACAACATAGTGTAAAAAGAAGTTAACAATGATAGCCAACATATTGCAACCACAACAATACATTTAAGTACCTTCTGAAGTTTGCTTCTGTCACAGATTGTGGGATCCTTGCAACAAATATCCTGGTAACTTTTCTTGCAGGTGCTCTCATCTCCTCCTGTAAAAAAATAATGAAATATTGTTGGCAATACAACCAACAAAACTTTTAATGATAAAGAAAACACAACATGCATGCACAAGAATTATGAATAACCAAAAATAAAAAATGAATATTAATGAAATGCTGGTTACAAATTTATATTACCTTTGGGGTAGCTATTTTAACTTCCAGCATTCTATTGCCAAGAAAATGTTCACTTGACGCTGCAGTCTGTAGCAAAAAGGATGTCAGTTGTTAGACATTTGATATGCTAACTGTAAATCGTAACACATTTATGTTTCCCAACCAAATGATCATGCAAACATTGATAACATTTAGTGAGTACAAACAGGACCCTTGGAAAATTCTATTCCAACTCACTTTGGCATCTTCAGCAGATAAAAATGTCGCATATCCAAATCCACGAGACCGACCAGTTGACCGATCCTAATAAATATGGAAACAAATGCAGTAACAAATGCTTGTAAGGTTCCGAAACAAAGTAAATAATGAAATATTGATCAAATACAAAGTATCAAGCAGAAGACCCTAAAATGAAATTGAAAAATAGTTGTCACTGGCAAACTAAGAACCAAGTAAACAAAAGACGAAGAAAAATAGCACAAGACTATAACAAATCAAGTTAACAACATGTTACACGAAATTTGCTCAACGTAAACCTTCCAGACCAAGCGGCGACAAAACTAACTTATCAAAAATAATTCAAGTAGTAAAGCACAAGAGGAACACAGAATTAAATTTCGAAAAGGAGTGATAGCATTAGCGAAACAAAAAGGGTTGGGTAATTCGCTAACCTTCATGACAATGCAATCCTCCAATTCCCCAAATTTAACCATATACTCTTTCAACCCTTCCGTATCGATTTCCCACGGAATGCCCAAAACCTGAGTTACGATTACAGACAACCGAATTCAAATAAATTCCACCAACCCATTAATAAAAATGCAAAATTTAATACAAGGGCAAATAAAAAAGGGAAAAAACTAACCACGAGCTTGCGGTCCATGAGGTAATCGGAGAAGGCAGCGCAATACGGGGCAGAGAAACCCTAAAATTGAAAAAAGAGAAAGCCTTGTGTTCTTCTTCTAAGCACTCTCTCTCTCTAACAAATCTCTCACACTCGCTCCCTGCACATGATAAGCACACCTCTTTCTCACACACATCGGCACAAACCAATGCAAACTCACCATTTTCGAATTCGACATTTGTCTTTCTGTTTTCTTCAATTTACGAAAATTGGGAATGTAATTAAAAGAGAAATTGAAAATTAGGGCATGAAATTTGTTCAATTTACGCGCTCACTAACCTTGTGCAATCTCAATCAAACAATCAAATCTCTGGGACTTTCAAAACCCTATACCTGACCAACCAACCCCTCGCGCTCCCTCTCCTCTCTCTCTCGCGCTTTCTCTCGTACTCGCTCGCGCCGCTCGGATCTTGAAGAGAACAATATACACAATTGGGCCGAGTTTGATATCCGGTCCCTGTCCTCTTAAAAATGCTTGTGTTTTTTGTGGTCTCGTGCATAGAGGGGCAGGGTTCCAGTGGGCGAACCATCACGTTAGTATAAAGTTGGTTGCATGCCATTTGTCATGTGATCGGAGAATTTATTATATGTCGCGGGTGCATATCTGTAAATAACATAAAAACACGTGTAAATTTTTTGTCTACCTGTCATGACATAATTAGCATGGAACGTCATGGTGACAATATACAAGTACAATGCAAGTTGTTTTTCCACGCACAAATATGATAACAAAAGGATTTCATTATCTGGGTTGTGGTGGACATGACTCACTTTCATATCGAGTGACACGAATACAACACCGTTAAGCTAAGGCTTGCAAAATTAACAATGAAAATATCGAGTAACACAACACAATTTGTTTCAACGAAAAAACTTAGAATAAAATGTGTTTTGTTAAAGACTTACAAATGAAATATGTTTTACCAAATTCATTACTTAAACATTCCACATAAAAACATTTCAAAAAGGCAAAAATTTGTTTCGTGGTCTCTGTGGTGACACACCACTTTTAATGTCACCCTCACTGAGCCTTGTTAGCAATTGAAGTCTAAACTCAAACTTTTGCTAAACAAACTCACGTGACTGTTACATGGAGGGGTCAAATTCGTCATTTCAATACAAATTATATATTATGCCATGGACATCTAGTATGACTTAGGTATACGCTACGCTTGATATTCCTGGGTGAGTTATAACATACGCTTGTTCTTCTTGTGCGTTAAAAAGTTGCCATCTAATTCTAGTACACAAAGCAAATTGAAACAAGTGAAAAGGGAATACAAGCTTACATCAACCATTTCATGAAGGAAAGGCCAACATCATCATTTCTCATACGATATGTTTTTTCACATCATTTTTCATACCATAATATGTTTTTCACACTAAAGACAAAAGCATATGTCCAACAAAAAAAAGACAAAAGTATGCCTTCCAAAATGTATTATGGTTCATTATAATAAAAAGTCACTGGAAATGTCTTCCACAAAATAGATAAACAATTTAGTTTCCCACAAAATAAAATCAATTCCCTCCACTCCAACATTTCTTTTGCAAGGTAAGGTGCTTTTTCAAATGTAGATTTTGCTTGTTGTGCATTGGGGCCATTCCAGAAGGTCTCAAATGGAGTTAGCATTAGATGATATTGCAAAGTCATTTCAAGAAGTCGCCAAGGTGCACTGGCAAAGTTGGCATTGACTGATACCATTTAGGCAATCCAATCGATGGAGTTGAACATCTAGCTATTTCTACAGTTGTTTGTCTCCTACACTATTATATTTGTACAATAAATTGTTAGAAAAACAAGATAACATCCAAGCGTCTACAAAATATGTGTAGAATTACAAAATAAATGATGTAAGAACAACCTAAATCATATTAGCATGCTTTGCTAGGTCACGATCAAATGTAATGAGAAAAAACCTACCTAGTGCAGCCATGGTGGTTGTTAATCATACACAAGAACTCTTCTACTCGCTCAAGTCCTTATGTTCCAATGGTGATAGAACCCTAGTTTTCAGAACGTGTTCTTTGTGAGCAGGGAATCCTTATTTATAGATTTGAACTTCACCAACCTCCATCTATCATGGATGGGTGGTTACTAACTACTGTAAACGCAGTGATCAGTTTCAAAAGTCGTGAAGCAATGTGGCATCCTTATCATGACCTATGTTTCCTTTATATTAGGATGCTTATTTCCACATTTAAACTCGAAATCAGTTTGTATAACCACCAATTGTATTTCAGCCTTATTCAACTTAGTTTAGTCCAATTAGGATTCTTATATTCTCCCACTTGGACGTAAACTAATCATTGTATTGAAATAACATGTCAATCACAACATTGACTCCTTAGTGACCACTTGAGTTATCATGCTATTACTTCTTCATCTCACAGAAATAATTCAAACACTGATCTCTAGAAAACTATATGTAATTATTAACACATGCACTCTAGAACCACAAGTATTTAAACCCAAACTGTATGATGTTTCCTTATACCAAAATGGATTTATTGTTTATTTAATCATACAAAACCTAGGTTTCTTCATGTATCGCCTTTGGACAGACACACTTCGAACAACAGATTTCAATCTGCTGTCAATCATCTTTATGAATCAAAGATGTAATAATGATGAAGTATCACAACATTATCAAGCACTGAAATTGATTAATGCGTACAATACATTCATTGCATTTAGATGACAGAATAAGAAACATGATTCAACGAGAGCAACATGAACACAAATACTTATGCATGTCAGAATGTCGATCTCACTCCCACATTTCAGCAGACTCCAAGGAATCATGCACTCCCATCTTTGTGACATGTTCTTTGAACACTCTAGGAGGCAATGGTTTCATAAGTGGATCAGCAACCATTGATTTTGTATTAATGTGTTCAATCATTATCAACCATTTTCTTACTTCTTCCTTCAAAGACAAATCTTTCATGTCCATCATTCATGCATATTTATGTTCCACCTTTGGGTAAGAAACATAAACAACCACTATTTGATATGTAACCTTATTGTATAACAATCGTGTAAAAGATTAAGAAAACAACCAAGGTTTCAAGTCTTTGGACAAGAAAATAGTCAACTTAATTCTCTTAAAAATGTTATACCCTGAAAACATCTCAAACCATTCAATCCTTTATCAAACTCCAATGAGTTTGCCTAATGCTTCCAAAGCCTCAATTCTGCCTTATGCAGATAAACTAGTTATTAAGTGAATAACCATGACAAGCAATTTTATGTAACATCTTTGGTCAAGAGACATAAAATATTAGTTATGCAATCTTAATCATGCATCCTTATTTGCATAGCTATTTCACAAAAATTTCAAGTTACAACTCAAATCATGTCTTTGGACAAGGGAACAAATTTGGCTTAAAACTTTTATAAAATACTATACATTGTATCACAGTTCAAGCCATTCACTATTTTTGTCTTTTGAAAGATTGGTCTCATGCAATGAACTGTCACTCACAAAATTCAATTAAGAATTCATTGAACAAAATTTCCTAATAATTCCCACTTTGGTAGAAGATTTATCCAAACATTTGTTTAACTATAGAGATTATTAGTGTTGATATCTTGCATAAAACTTTAGTTTCAATAATCTTGACACAATATATATATATATATATATATGTATGTATGTATTAAACTTTGTACCAATAACCTTTTTACCTTACTTTAACATACACACATAACATCAAGTTCAAACTGAAGTTAATAATCAAAGCCACATCAAGAAGATAATCTAATAATGGCATCACTTACTTCCTGAATGGTTTTGGCACAAGCATGCAATATAATCTCTTCCACCATCCTATATGCTGCCAAACAGAGAATAGCATACAGACCAAAACTTCCATAAAATCTCACTTTGGTGAAGATTTAATAAACATTTGTCCAATGGTTAAAATAACATGATTATTTGTTCCAGATGTTGCAGCCTTAGTTGTTTTACGTTGGCATCATTCCTAAATAAGACTTACAAATAAAAGCATTAATGCGAACAAGTATAATCACAAACAATTGTATAAAGGCCAACTAGCAATGTATGACTCTCCAAGAATATCAAGTTAATCAAATCCCTATTCGGTGCATCATCCATTGTTTTCTGCACTGCATTTGCAATTCACAAGGACACAAAGCAACACATGCGATCGTTCTACAATTGGGATGACAACCACTTAGACATCAATCTTTCTAGAAAAAGACATCATTTCAAAAACCGTAAATCCATAATTATGTATGTTCTAGGTTAGTTAAATAAGAAATACACAAATATTCTTTACTTTCCAAACTGAAAGTTAAATGCATGGCAAGAAACTGACCAAGTATATAAAATAATTAATTTGTAGTTAAACAACCATAACTTGAGATTGCATGACTATTAGGAAATAAAGCCACCGCTTCATGCAACAGTAAATGCTAGAAGCCTAGACCATTCTTGTATATATAAGAGTAATTAATTCCGAGGTTCTTGAAACCCAACAATTTCAGAATGCACCCAACAATCATGATTCGGAACAAAAACCATTCGTGATAACCATGGGCATGGGCATGAACTCGAATATTTCGTTTTTGTACTCTACTCGTTCCTTGAAGGTCCAATTTGTTAAAATCGAAGACTATAAACTCAGGGTTTATTTATTAGGTAATTCAAATGACTTATGATCAATACTCTTTACGAATCTCAGGTAGGCTAATTGCATAATAAATCAAGTTACAGCATGAATCAAGTCTTTGTTCATAATTTAAAATGAGTACCTGACTAAGTCTTAAACAATGGGGCAAATAGCATACATGTAGGTATGTTCTCAGCCATATATTACATATATTAGTAGTGATAAATCTCAAGGTTGAGGATATGTTTGATATCATGGGACGTTATTCAAAGAAGAGTTCTTTTCGGAGAAAAATGAGGTCATGTTACAAGTTTATGCATATTGGTTGCAACATGAATATAAAAAAGATATCAAAAAATTCAATCAAATACCGGATTTCAATAAGATACCGATCATCGTTTGTGAAACTGAAGCAACCATGACTACCAATTCTAGAATGACAAAAGCACAATGCTTACAGTGGTCTAATCTCCAAACCATATATTCATTTTCCTGCAGTGAATAAAACTTTGGTAGCAACATATGGCATTAGAACAATTAATCATGCTATAGAAAAATTGCAACAATCATTATACGAATTTTATACATGCTTAAAGCATTAAGATTTCTTATTAATTCATCGGACCTAGGGCTTACTAACATGGCTATGATACCAAATATAAGAACAACCCAAATCATATTTGTTTGGGTTATTTGAATATTGGGTTTAACTGAAAGAAGGCCAAAGATGTCAAAACAAGGTGAATCTACCCAAGGCTCAGCATCATGCCCAGAAGCAAACTGAAGCCTTTTCAGCCAAGACATAAAACATATGTCTATAACTGAAGTGACAAGTGATGGAGACTAATCTACTATTAGC